TCAGATAGTAGTAGGTCTTCAGCTCTTTCCTTTAGCAGGGTCCGCTGCTGTCATTCAGGCTAGGAGATGGAAGAATTGGGCCGGGACACCCTGTGTACATCAGGAAGCTGGTTACACTGATTGTGACTGCCACCTGTGCTCTATTGGAGTTTGTGGAATTCAAGGACTTATAAGGACTTTGTAAGAAAAATGAAGACTTATAAGGACTCGTTTACATATCGTTTGCATTAGGCATCAGGCTGGTTCTGGGCTATTGGTCCTGGTTATGTGCCAGATATTATTATACTGTTTTTTTTTTTTTTATAGTGTAGAGGAGGGGTAGCTGACAACAGATGCCTCATAGTAAGCCTATGGGTGACGTCACCGCACAGGCATCTGCAGCCGTTGTATAAAAATATATATTTTAATTGTTTCTTTTTATCAATTTAGAAAATGCAAAGTGAGCAATCACAAGAAAAATCGAAATGAAATCAGACCAGTATCACTTCTTACACTTGCACGCTTTGTATACTCAGTATTTTGTAGGATTAGAATCAGATGTATGATTAACCAATTATATCATGCAGGTTCTAATGATCATCAATGTCATACGTAGGTTGAAATACAGTAATTAGCTGAAACACACACAGCTGTGTAGAAGGCTTAAAAGTGGGCGAGGAACAGCCAAAGTGTGCTATTAAGGTGAGAGAGACCATTTCATGTCACAGGTCATACGCCATGGTTATACTGAGCACGACAAGACACAAGGTAGTTATACTGCATCATCAAGGTCTCTCCCAGGTAAAAATGTCAAAGCAGACTGGGGTTTCAAGATGTGCTGTTCAAGCTCTTTTGAGGAAGCACAAAGAAATGGGCAGCGTTTGGTCCGTAGACTCTGGTCTGCCAAAGAACCTTGATGCAGCAGATGAAAGACACATCATGCTTACTTCCCTTCGACATCGGAAGATGTCCAGCAGTGTCATCAGCACAGAACTGGCGAAAACCAGAGGGACCCAGGTACACCCATCTACTGTCTGGCCAGAAGAGGTCTTCATTGAAGAATTGTGGACAAAAAGCCATACTTACAATGTGAAGAAAAGGCCTAAGCGACTCAAGTATGCATGAAAACATAGAAACTGGGGTGCAGAAAAATGGTAGCTGGTCCTCCTAGACTTAAGAGTGGAAATATCAACTATCTGGCTGTAGCAGGAGGCAGTTTGTACACCGAAGGACTAGAGAGCAGTATAATAATGAGTGTTTGCAGGCAGCAGTGAATAATGGTGGAGGCTTCCTGCAAGTTTGGGGCTGCATTTCTGCAAATGGAGTTGGAAATTTAAAAAGGAAAAGAACAGTGAGCGCTGGTCCTAAACATCAGCTAAGCACTCTAAGCACCGATATATACTTAAACAATAACATAAAAAATAGTGCAGCGCTGAGGGTAGTAATCATAAAACAGATATGAGTCCACTGCAAGTCCAGTTCATAAAAACGTGTCAAGTGACAAGTGGGAATTCAATGTTGGTGATCCGTGAGGAAGTGGCTGAAAAACGCACTCACCAGAAAGAAGATCTATAAACGCAGTATATATCCAAAGCTCATGGATCCTCAATCCAGAAGAAAATAAAGCTGGTCCGGTCACAGAAAGGTGGGTCCCTCCTTTATGGATGCAGCAACAGATCCTCCTCCTCCCAGTTAGGTGTAGGATTCCAAAGTCAGGGTTCTGCAAGCAAAGTGCTCCTCAAGGGAGTTTAGGGAAGGACACCCATAGTGTAGTAGGTTATGTAAAAGCAGCTGCAGGATGTCTCTCCTTGTTGCAGTTTATCATTTCCTTTCCACTACCCACACTACAAAAAGGAAATGATAAACTGCAACAAGGAGAGACATCCTGCAGCTGCTTTTACATAACCTACTACACTATGGGTGTCCTTCCCTAAACTCCCTTGAGGAGCACTTTGCTTGCAGAACCCTGACTTTGGAATCCTACACCTAACTGGGAGGAGGAAGATCTGTTGCTGCATCCATAAAGGAGGGACCCACCTTTCTGTGACCGGACCAGCTTTATTTTCTTCTGGATTGAGGATCCATGAGCTTTGGATATATACTGCGTTTTATATATCTTCTTTCTGGTGAGTGCGTTTTTCAGCCACTTCCTCACGGATCACCAACATTGAATTCCCACTTGTCACTTGACACGTTTTTATGAACTGGACTTGCAGTGGACTCATATCTGTTTTATGATTACTACCCTCGGAGTTGGAAATTTGGTCAGGATCAATGGTGTCATCAATACTGAGAAATGCAGGCAGATAATTATCCATCATGTCATACCATCAGGGAGGTGTGTAATTGGCCCTAAATTTATTCTGCAGTAGGACAATGACCCCAGACATAAAGCCAATGAGAACTATCTTCAGCAAAAAGGAGGAGTCCTGGAAGTGATGGTTTGGCCCCAGTGGAGTCCTGATCTCAACGTAATTGAGTCTGGGGATTACATGAAGAGAGAAAGATTTGAGGCAGCCTACATCAATAGAATATCTGTGGTAAGTTCTCCAAGATGTTTGGAACAACCTACCTGCCAAGTTCCTTCAAAAACTGTGGAAATGTACCTAGAAGAATTGATGCTGTTTTAAGGCAAAGGGTGGTTGTGACAAACGCGGTGCCTGACTCCTGCCCTTCTCACCAATGCGTGACATAGGACCAGCCAATCTCACACCGCTTTGTCACTTGCGTAACAATGCCTCTCAGCTGTGCCCTGCTCAAAGATTTTGCAGCTCGCGGGACCACAAGCTATGTGCCAGCAGCCTAAGAGCGATTGTCACTGAGTTAAGAAATTACGCAATTAACCCTTCAAACTCCAAGCTGCCACCAGATAGCTTTGGGACTATCAACCCTTCACAATGTGTGCAAGAACAAATGTGAACAATAAAAATCTGTAACACACACTGTCACCACAGACAAGTATTTTCAGAGGATTGTCTACAGTAGAATTCTTCAAGAGACAGGGATTCTTTAGTTTGCATTGAAAACCTTACAGTAGGCATCACTAAATGGTGGACTGAGTCACTGTCCCATCCAGAGGGTGGGAGCTGCCAGAGGTTAACAAGCAGGTGATTGGTTGGCAGGATGAAGGGCAGTCCTAGCAATCAATCACTGTCTGTGTAAGGTAGGACAGTGGGGGCGGAGGCGAAGTTAAAAGGGCTAAGGAGATTAGTGTGAAGGAGGGGCTGAGGACAGTAATGTGGGGGGGCTAAGGACTGTGGTTTGTGGAGGCTGAGGACAGTACTGTGGGGGGGGGGGGGGGGGTTAATGTCAAGGAAGTGTGAGAACACTACTGTGTGGAGGGGGTGATGTAATGTGTGAGCTGAGGACACTCATCAAGAGGGATCTTGCTGTGAATGAGGAGGGGACTGTGATGTGCAGTGGGGGTTGAGGACACTGATGTGAGAACAGGTTCAGATCTGTACATGCGCATTTGGTGGGTAGGTCAGCACTACCTGCTAGAAACCTGAAGAAGTCCCTGACCCTTTTTTTCAAAATCGCACTGCAGCAACACGTTGTTTGGCGCATACGAAAGTGCACCACAGGGGCTTACATTAGATTCGGACCTCTGACGCATGCAAATTTTACTGCCCGAACCTTGGTGAATTTTAATTCCATACCCTTGCCTTAGAGAGCGATTTTAAAACTTTTCAAAATAGGATTTATTAATAAAAAAGTAAATGGTGTTAAAATATTTACAGAAAAGGATGTTACAAAGACTTAAAGAGAACAATATTGCCACAGAGAAATAAAAGGAGTTAAGGTAGAATACTTGCAAAGTCCTTCGCTTTAGCAGAGTCCAATTGTCCAAGCAAAAACCTTGATTTGGCTCTCAAGTCCGTTAAGATGTTCCTTGATTGATGTTAAACGAGAGCTCAATCTTCACAAGTCCTGTCAGTCCCTTTTCTATATCAAGGGGGTGTGGACGGAGACCAATAATTCAATTTAAGGGATGGGTGTTGGGAGGCCGCTAAGTTTATGACCAATTCCCAAGTACAGTTTTACACTAATATTAATAACCGCCAATATGTGCAGTTGGTATTCTAGCAACTGGCAGATTAATATTCAGAATTATATTTCGAACCCAGGGATACCAAACACAGCATATCTTTGTCACCCAGGAGGGAAGAGACTGCTTTCTCCCCTTTTCTATGTGCTAACATAGTCTTGGTATGTTCTTGATTTGTTTGGTATGATATTCCCTATTCAAATATATACTTAATATTAATGTGCCCTGTTCCTGTTGATTTCTGTGAATTTTATGTGGAATTTTTACATGTGGAGTAGACGTTTTATGATATGCTCTGCTTTCCTAGAGCCTTAATGGCCTTACAGGTCATGTGTGATTTGCTTGACTGAGTTATTATTGTTTTATGATAGAGCAGAGGAAAGTGTTTTCCATGGTTCTTGAAAACAGACATCCTGCCAAGACTAATTGGCTGTTTACATCCTGGCCAGCTCTGTGTTTTAATTAAGATAAGAGGTTCTTTTGAAGTGTGTTAAACGTTACAGCTACAAATTCCAGTTTTCAGGAGGGAGGAGGGTTAGATCATTGCTCGTGAAAAACAAAAATGGCTGTCGCATGCAGGTTCCATGTCCCTGTTGCATGCAGTTGGTACAGTGGTCACACCAAATATTAATTTGATTTGGATTTTTCTCTCTGTCCATCTACTTTCAATTTTGTTAATTGATGAAAAAAAAAAAATAAACTATCACATCTTTTTCTGAAAGCATTCTTAATTTACAGCATTTTTTCACAGCTCTTAAAACGTTTGCGCAGTATATATAGCGAGTGATTGATGGATAAAAAAATACAAGTGTGTGTGTGTGTGTGTGTGTGCGTGCGTGCGTGCGTGCATATTTATACTAATGTCATTGTTACTAGCAGTTATTTCTTTGTATTCTGAATATGGAGTGTGACTAAGCATAGGGATAATTTTATTCTGTTACAGGTAGTGTGGTTACTGTAAAGTGTGGCAGATATGTGGGATCAGGGAGGACAGCCTTGGCAGCAATGGCCACTGAATCAGCAGCAGTGGATGGAATCATTTCAGCATCAACAAGATCCAAGTGAGTATCTCTTAGGAGAGCTAAATCAATATGTTATTTGTATTGTTTTCCCTGTACTTTGTATGTGGTTGGTATTGTATCAGTGTACCTCAAGTTCATGCTTTCTGTTCTTGTGTTTTGTCTTATTTCTTTCATTAGGTCAAATAGATTGGGCAGCATTAGCCCAAGCTTGGATCGCTCAGCGTGAAGCTACAGGTCAAGGAGTGGTGGAGCCGCAAGGCATGATTCCCAATGGGCAGGATCTACCACCTCCAGTTCCACAGATGGAACCTGTTCCCAACAACCATAATTTTCCAAATGATCCAAATTTTAATCGAATGTGGCAGCCAGGTAATAGCCACGTTGACATAGTTAATTATTTTATAGTTGATTGCATATATATGTGAAATGCATGCTGAATAACTTTGTGTTGTGTTCCTAAAGTGAGGCTATTAGGGTCTTATAAGTGTCTCGCATTCCAGTACTACTGAAATGCCTGCATTTCAGTGTATGCAAACCCTAATGAACTTCTGTTATTTGCTACCCTTTGCACTGTTAAATACACAATTAAGTATGTTGCTACAGTACATTTGCTCGAGAAGTGCAAAAAATTACCTATTGATCATAGCGGAAATTCAGAGCTGTCGTGTACAGTTCCTGCGTCACCTTGGGCTACAGAATTGGTAATGTCTGTTATAGAGAAATACAATATAGAGGGAGACAATACAGCAACAATGCAGTTCAAAACAAGAGGGTTAGGTGGGCCCTGCTCATGGGAGCTTACAGTCTAATTGGGAGGGGCTGGTAGAAGCAAAGGTATTAACGCTGAGGGATGAACTGATGGGAGAAGTAAAAGATATGGTTATTAGCTGAAGGCAGGATAATATAGTACAATCCTGTCTAAAAATCAGCAAAACAGGGTTTTAGGTCTTTTTTTTTTTTTTTCTTTTTTTTAAATAAAAAATTTTGGTCTCTAAAATTTTGGCACTGAAACAGTATCTGAGACACTTTGAAGGCTTGAAAGGTACCATGTTTATCTGGCTTATTTGTATATAAACATGGATTTGTATTATTAATAAGTGTGTGTATATATATATATATATATATATATATATATATATATATATATATATATATATGTGGGTGTGTGTGTGTGTGTGTATATATATATATATAGATATAGATATATTTTATTTCTTTTACATTGCAGCCTGTAAAACATTGTACCAGCGATCAGCAGATTGCGGGGGTGCAATGCCAGGATCCTGCAGACTCTTAGTAAGCTGTCTGTTAATACCTCCTGCATGGACAGGGAGTTTCTAAATGGCAGAAAGATCAATGAACTACAAGAGGGCTCACCAGCACACTTGCAGTTCAGTGAGAACTACAAGCCTTTAGCTACAATGACTGATGATACTTGTACTCTATTCATTCATAGGAAACTGTGAATGAGTGCCGTGTGGGCGGAGCCCCTCACACAGGGCCAATGCTTCCACTAGGCAAACTAGCAGGCCACCTAGGGTACACTGCCAACTAGGAGTGCTTGGGTGGAGCACAAACGAGCACTTTCTGGGATGTCGCCATGTCATGAACAATCCTCCAGCTGAGGGGAGGGACGGCAGAGAGGAGGAGAGTACAGAGAAAGATGCCCGGTGTCTGGGGCCAGTGTAGCAGCTGAGCTGTCGCTCCTTCCAGTGTTCCTCTCAGACTCAGTCCGTCACTGCAAGCTAGCTGGTGGCTGCTGATCACTGTGGAGTTCCAGCCTTTCTCTTTCATCAGCGGAGGCGAAGCTGAGGAAGGTAATGTCTGACTTTGATGTGTTGTGTCTCTGTGAGTGTGACCTTGCCGGCCGGCCATCCGTCTCATGTGCAATGTGTCAGTGAGTGATGACATCATCATGATCCCAAAGCTGACTCTTCTAGTGCCTGTTGGGCCTGCTGATCTGTGTCAGTGTTGGTGTGTTGTATTGGATCTGTCACTGTGTGGGATCACTCAGTTCAGGTGTTCTCTCGGTGTGTGTGGGCTGTCTGCTGTCACAGCTTTTTATCTCCCGCCATTGCCTGGGGAATGTCAGCCTGGGATCTTTTAGAGTGTGGATCCGTCATCCTCCACTCATTGCAACTGTCACCCTGCCACTGCCAGCCACAGATACGGTCCGTCTGACACTGATTTTATCTTTAATATTGGTGCTGGTGGCATGTAATGGCACTTATTTTTGCAAATTAAAAGGAATTTAGTAGTTTCATGTTTTGTTGATTTTATTTTTCTACTCTTTAAATATTTTTTTTGGGGGGGGGTCAAAGTAACTGGTCTTGCCTACGGCACAAAATAGTGTTAGCACTGGCCCTGCCTGCAGGGTCGCACTGTTTTCAGATTTTAACTATGGGTGCATGGAAAAGATCCCCTGCCGGCTGTCATAGAGAGGGTAGCACTGGTGGTGGGAGGTGGGTGCAAAGGAGCATATTACATCCTAAATATGGGTGTAACGTAACATACAGTGGATATAAAAAGTCTACACACCCCTATTAAAATGCAAGGTTTCTGTGATGTAAAAAAAATTAGACAAAGATAAATCATTTTAGAACTGTTTCCACCTTTTAATGTGACCTATAAACTGTACAACTCAATTGAAAAACAAACTGAAATCTTTTAGGGGAGGAAGTAGACAAACTAAAATAATGTAGTTGCATAAGTGTGCACACCCTCTAACTGGGGATGTAGCTGTGTTCAGAATTAAGGAATCACTTTCAAAATCATGTTAAATAGGAGTCAGTACACACCTGCTATCATTTAAAGTGCCCCTTTATTAACCCCAAATAAAGTTCAGCTGTTCTAGTAGGGCTTTCCTGACATTTTCTTAGTCGCATCCTACAGCAAAAGTCATGGTCTGCAGAGAGCTTCCAAAGCATCAAAGGGATCCCTTTGTTAAAAGGTGTCAATCAGGAGAAGGGTACAAAATAATTTCCAAGGCAATAGATATACTATGGAACACAGTGAAAACAGTCATCAAGTGGAGAATATATGGCTCAACAGTGACATTACCAAGAACTCGACGTCCCTCCATAATTGATGAAAAGAAAACAGGTCTGGGAGGCTGCCAAGAGGCCTACAGCAACATTAAAGGAGCTGCAGGAAAATCTGGCAAGTACTGGCTTTGTGGCGCATGTGACAACAATCTCCTGTATTCTTCATATGTCTGGGCTATAAAGTAGAGTGGCAAGACAGAAGCCCTTTTTTTTTTTTTTTTTTTTTTTTAACGAAAGAAAAACATCCAGGCCCAGATAAATTTAACAAAAACACATCTGAGGTCTCCCAAAAGCATGTGCGAAAATGTGTTATGATTTGATGAAACCAAGTTGAACTTTTTGGCCAGAATTCCAAAAGATATATTTGGTACAAAAACAACATTGCACATCACCAAAAGAACACCATACCCACACTGAAGCATGGTGGTGGCAGCATCATGCTTTGGGGCTGTTTTTCTTCAGCTGGAACTGGGGCCTTAGGGTAGAGGGAATTGTGAACAGTTCCAAATACCAGTCAAAACCTTCAGGCTTCCAGAAAGCTGAACATGAAGAAGAACTTCATCTTTCAGCATGTCAACGGCCCAAAGCATACATTCAAATCCAGAAAGGAATGGCTTCACCAGAAAAAGATTAAAGTTTTGGAATGGTCGAGCTAGATCCCAGACCCGATTCTGATCGAAAATCTGTGGGGTTTTCTGAAGAGGGCTGTGCACAGGAGATGCCTTTGCAATCTGAGAGATTTGGAGTGTTTTTGCAAGGAAGAGTGGGTAAATATTGCCAAGTCAAGATGTGCCATGCTGATAGACTCATACCCAAAAAGACTGAGAATAACACAGTGCTTTAATAAAATCAAAAGGTGTTTCGTGTGTGCACACTTATGCAACCATTTTATTTTAGTTTTTTATTATTTTTACTTCCCTCCACCTATCTAATTTCAGTTTGTGGATCAGCGTTTTCTGTGCAAATTCCGCACAGCATCAGAATCCCACCCTGTTCATGCGAACCGCTGCGAGTGTGTATGTTACCTCAACACCCCAAAAGCGGTCCGCAAGATGCAGTGCGATGTGCAGAATCGGATCGCATAGGTGTGAATACAAAAAAGGGTCCTGCACCTTTTTGATGCAGGTGCACTGCGACTAGAGCCATACAAAATGTATGGCTCCAATTGCATCACACACAAATCGCATGTGAATTGCACAGGAATGCGGTGCGAATCACATGCGATATACCGCACTGCATATGTGTGAATCCAGGCTTAAGGTGGAAAAAGTTCTAAAATTATTTATCTTTGTCTTTTTTTACATCTGACATTTTAAAACCTGACATTTTACCAGCGGTGCGTCAATTTTTTTATATTCACTGTACTCCGAAAGGTGAACTTATACTTTTAAGAAATTTTTTATACATATAATAACCCTGAGTGTTGCCTGATATATATATATATCAAGATTTTTTTCTCTATGTAATACCTACAGAGTGGGGTGGAATGCATCATCAACCACCTCCACACCATCCTCCTCCAGAACAGCCATGGATACCTCCTGTCCCTGGACCTATGGATATTGTCCCCCCATCTGAAGATAGTAATAGTCAGGACAGTGGTGATTTTTCCAATGATAATAGACACATGTTTAACCAGAACAATCATAACTTTGGCGGACCACCTGAAAACTTCCCCATGGGGCCAGGGAATCAATATGATTACCAGGTGAGAAGAAATAATTATACTGTTTACAACTATTCTGTTAAGCTGTTAAAATTCTCTATGGTTACAAGTGGATAAGAGCATTAATTCTTGTTGTGTCCCAACATTTGTACTTTTTTTTTAATCCTAGCATGGTTCCAGTGGATATGGGCCCCCTCAAGGTGGTTTTCATCCACCATACTGGCAGCAAGGCCCTCCTGGTCCTCCCGGTCCACCTGCTCCACCTCCAAATAGAAGAGAAAGACCTTCCTTCAGAGAGAGGCAACGCTCACCTGTGCCAATACCACCCAAACAAGAGCCCCTGCAAATTGGTAAGGACCACTTTAACGAAAACTATTGTATTGTTGTAACTGTATGGGGAAAATACCTACAACTATGGGGGTATTTGGTATATTACTGGCCTGTCTCGGTGTTAAAGTTTCCTACATCATTCACTCTTCTAACCACCTGAAGACCAAGCCTTCTCTGACACTTTTTGTTCATATGAAAAAAATCTGTATCTTTTGCTAGGAAATTACTTTGAACCCTAAACATTATATATTTTATAAAGCACACACCCTGGGGAATAAAATGGTGGGTGCTGCAATTTTTTATGCCACATAGTACTCGCTCAGCGATTAATTTTTTTTTTCCCCCAAACGAAATTTTTTTTAAAAAAATACACTTTTTTTTTTACTTTCAAAGCACAAAAACTCTATATTGGCCAATTATTTGGTAAAATATAAAAGATGATGGTATGCCAAGTAAATAGATACCAAACATGACATGCTTTAAAACTGCGCATGCCCCGTGCAATGGCAACAAACAGCATACTTTTTTTATATCCATAGGCAACGCTTTTAAAAGCCTTTACAAGCTACCATTTTAGATTTACAGAGGAGGTCTAGTACTAGAATTACTGCTTTTGATCTGATGCTTGTGGTGTTACCTCACATGCATGGTTCAACCCCTGTTTACATACTGGCACAAGGTCGAAGCTCGTGCGCGCGGGGTGGGCGAGTGTACTTTTTGTTTTTTTTTTATCACTTCATGCTATTGCAGGGAATGAAAATATCTCCTATAACTTTAATGGGCATTGTCATATATTCTTTTTTGAGAAAACTGGGGTCTATCAGACTTTAGAGATCTTCTCTGCCCTTACATTATCTAATCTCACCAAGATCGGTGTGATCAGATGCTTTCCCAATTTACAAATGGCGCTGTTTATATCCTGCAAAACTAAAGTGATGAAATGCTCGTAGCTTCCGATTTCTTAGACTATAGAGCTGATTGACGAGACTCTGGTCTCCAATCGATTATAGAGCTGATTGGCGCCAATCCGGTCTCCAATCAGCTTTATGGTCAGTTGTCAGAAACACCGACTGCATTCTCAGGCTTCCCCATTGGCACAGGACTGCCCGAGAAGACCGTGGAAGGCAGCGGGGGAGGGGAGAATCTTCTCCCACTGCTTGTAAAAGTAATCCTGCAGCTAATTAGCTGCTAGGATTGCTTTTACATGAAAGCCGATCGCCGACTGAAGAAAATGATACCAGGATGATGCCTGCAGCTGTAGGCATCATCCTGGTATAACCACTCAAAGTCTAGTGATGTACTAGTACGTCACTGATTCTTGTTGGGTGTATATGCTATGTTGTTTTGTTTTTTTTTTTGCAGCCTGTGGGCTGAATTAAAAAAAGAAAAAATCTCTGCCAGAAAAAATGTGTTGTATGCCCAGCATTAGAATATACCGCCCTGCATCCACCCACTTCTAATAGTGGGCACACATGAAATGTGCCAAAAAAATATTATAAAATATATATTCCGGAGCATAGGGGCCATCCACCCACTGGCCACCCCAGGCCACCATGCTTCGGCATATATGCTCTTTTTTTTAACTGCGTATGAAAAAATCTCATCCAACAGCACTGCACGCACCTATTTATGTATAGTCTGAGAGCAAGACCCTATTGCTGTTAGAATAAACAAGTCGATGCTGCAGTTGAATGACATTCCTGCAAAGAAACCGCAATGGTTAACAATAAAACAGTAACTCAATAAAACAACTTTTTTATTGAAATATCTCTGCCAGAAAAAGTGTGTGGTATGCCCACCATTAGAATATACCTCCCTGCATCCACCCACTGCTAATGGTGGGCACACATGAAATGTGCCCAAAAATATTATAAAATATATATGCCGAAACATAGGGCCATCCACCCACTGGCCACCCCAGGCCCCCTTGCTTCGGCATATATGTTCTTTTAACTGCGGATGAAGAATCTCATCCAACAGCGCTACACACACACCTACTTATGTATATTCTGAGAGCAGGACCCCTTTTTCTGTCAGAATAAACAATTCAGTGCTGCAGCTGAATGGTGTTCCTGTAAAGTAAACAATGGTTAACGATAAAACAAAACAACAATAGAACATTAACTCAATAAACCAACAAGTGAATGGTGTTCCTGTAAAGCAAACGGTTAACAATAAAACAAAGTAACAATAGAACTCAATAAAACTCGATTAAAACTTTCTTTTTAAATTAAAATTTTTTTTTTTTTACTTTTTTATTTTTTAAAACTTTTTTTGTAACAACCTCTGAGTTTCGGGTCTCTCAAAATGTGATGGACAATTTCCTGACTAACATCTTTTGAGACCCTTTGTGAGAATGGTAAATATGTGCCCTGAACTGTGCCGTGCTGTACCCTATACTAATACTCCATTAGTGTATGGTAGCGACAGAAGCAGTGCTTGAGGCAGAGACCAGTTTGGCCAGGACAGAAGGGACAAAAATAAGCGGGTGTCGCATCTTATTCCATGTCTGCTACAGACACGACATCATCTTTGGGGTGACCTTTGGGTTGAGGTACCAGAGAGGACATCTGGAAAATGCCTCTCATGCAGCCAGCTAACTGCATCTGGATTTGAGGATTGGGCCACAGCACCTTCTGGATACAAAAGGGCCGTGATGATCTCTTCCTGATATTTTAGGAAGGATCCACTTCATCCAGTTACTTTGTAAACTACAAAAGTGTTATTTATAGCCAGTTGAAATAGACACCTTTTTGTACCAGTGTCGAGCTTTTCGGGAAACAAACTAGGCACGGATTCATCATTTGATCACTGAAGTGCACCCTTCCCATGTTAAGATTATAGTCGTGGACACAGGGGTTTCTGAACATTGCTAGATACCGTGTTAAATTGGACTGTCGCATCTGCGTGAATGGAAGACAGGACGAAAACATCCCGTTTGTCCTTCCACTTCACTGCGAGCAATTCATCATTCCTCAAGCAGACTTTCTCTCCCTTTCTAAGTTGGGTATTTACAAGCCATTGGGGGAAGCCCCGGCGATTAGGTCGCACGGTGCCACGTAAGGCCAATTCCAAGATTGTACAGATGTCTAAATAGTGGCACTCTTGTATAGAGATTGTCCACGTATAAGTGGTACCCCTTACGAAACAAAGACGACACCAAGTCACAAACTATCTTGCCACTGCTCCCCATGTAGTCTGGACAGTTGGGGGGCTCTACTTCGCTGTCTCTTCCCTCATAAACCCTAAATTTGTACGTATAGCCTGTGGCCCTCTCACAGAACTTATATGATTTGACCCCATATCTGGCATGCTTGCTGGGGATGTACTGTTTGAATTCAAGGCAGCCAGTAAAGTGAATGAGAGACTCATCCTCGCAGATGCTTTGCTGGGGCGTCTACACATCTGCAAATTTTTCAGTGAGGTGGTTTATGAGGGGTCGAATTTTGTAGAGCCTGTCATGTTCAGGGTCATCCAAAGGATGACAGGGTGTTAGTGAAATGCATGAAGCACGTTATCGTCTCATATCTCTGCCTGGCTGTGGCAGCAGAGAACAGAGGCATATGATGAATCAGGTCTGTGGACCAATGTGACCGCAACTCATTCTTTTTTTGTAATGCCCATGTTGAGGGTTAGGCCCGAAAAAGTTTTAAATTCGGAAACCGTAATAGGTTTCCATGCAAATGGTCTGACCAGGTTTGAATTTGGGTAAACCTAAATTCCTGGAAGATTTCACCCTGTATAAATATGACTTCCTAAAATACAATTCCTCTCTCCCTGCTGCCAAATAAACCTATTTCAGCATTGTTCTCATTAGGGACTTGAGCCACATAATTGAGATCCTAAGGGCTTACACTTGTTCCCCTGGCTTTGTAAGGGTCTCCCTGGATGTCCGTTTTAATACCCTTCAGTTTTTTGTCAACAAAGACCGCTATATGCACTATAAACAGTTCCAATTCAAATCTGGACTGTACTGATTTCAGTCTCCTCTACAATTATTTCAGTTTCCCGAGTCAGTTCTATCTACAAACCCATGTGACTGCTATGTGGGCTAATTATGCCCCCAGTTAAGCTAACATCACAATGAGGCATTGGGGAGAAGCTCAAAATCAGGAATAACAACCCGTTCGCTAAATAAATCATATTCTACTGTAGATATATTGGTGACATCCTGATTATTTGGAGCAGCAGGAACTAGATATTGGGCTCCTTACTTGACCACTGTAACCGGAACGCCTTTGGGTTTACCTTTACGTATGTGACGGATTCTAACCAGCTCACATTTTTGGATCTAGACTTGATGCGCAAAGATGGATGTATAGTAACATAAAAAAAATCATTTAAAACCAATGAGTGTCAACTCCTATTTACATTATGGGAGTTGCCACCATCAATCCCAATGGGGCAGTTCTGTCATTTGAAAAAGAATTGCACAGAATTAGATAACTATGTAGAACAGTCAAGTTAGATGTATAAGTTGCGTGAAAACGGCTACCCAGAGAAATAATAGAACATACACGAGATGCCTATCAGAAGGAACCCCTGAGGATTCCAATTTAAAACTGGGTATGCGAGATAACTTTAAGCATGATGGGGTTTGGTTCATTACTAAGTTTAACTGCAAACAACGTGCCATTTTATGCATCGTGCGCATGAACTGGCACATCCTACTGATCAATCCTAGGTTAGGTCCCATATTACCATGGGGCCCGAGCAGCAGCATCTTCAGAAAGGCTAAGTCTATCAAAAAGAGTGGCTCCCAGTAAACTGACAGTGCCTCTTGATCCAGTCTCATTGACTCAAGTTCTTTCAGGTGTCTCTTTAAGCTGCCGGCAGTCCCCAATTCTTTTGTTGTGTTTTTTGTGGGCTTGTTAGCTTTTCATTGAAGTACATAGGTCCTATCCCTTCTGTTTTCAATCAGTTTTGCCACAAAACTGCAGCATGTTGGTAATAGGAGGCGTTGTCCTGGGATTTTCTACAGTTCGTTTTTTTTTGTTTAGTCTTCCTGTAAGCAACAGTATAACCTGACAAGTCTTCCTGTATCCTCAGTGGACTTCCCAGAAAAGGGTACCAAAATCAAATTTTTCTCATTATAGATGCTGTCAAACGCAGAACTTTGCCTGCATGGATTCGAGAAGGATTAGAGAAAATGGAAAGAGAAAAAACAAAAGAAGTTGGAACGCGAGCGAATGGAGCAGCAGCGTGCTCAAATGAAGCAAGAACAGAAGAGTCAAGATGCTGAGGAGGGTGATGGTCCTCGTTTACCTTTGAAAAGCAAATTTGTAAGTTAAAAAAAAAAAAACAAAATGGAGATACTTGCAGCTAGAGGAGCACTAGATTAAAGATAAAGGTGCACAAATCACAATGACTCTTCATGTTCTGTTTAAAATATAGATGGTACAGTAAACTTGTGTGAAATGCCACATGACTGCTGTATGCTAGCACTCTTTTAATTTAATATATGTTGAGAGCTTTGAATAGTAACTGCATGTTTTCATTATCAGAAATGGGTATTAACCACTTGTAGACCAGCGACATACTGGTAAGTTGCTGGACTTTGAGTGGTTGTACCGGGATGATGTCTGTAGCTGCAGGCATCATCCTGTTTTTTTTTTGTTTTTTTTCAGCTGGCGGTCCGCTTTCTTGTAAATGCCATCCATACAGCTAATTAGCGGCTTGGTGTGATCTGAGGCTTTTAAGTGTAGAGGAGAGATCTAGACCCCAAACCTCCGCAAAGAGTTCATGTCCCTGCCTATTTATTATATTCCCTGTGATTACAATAAAAGTGTGTGCAGAGGGGAATTTAAAGGAACAGTGTAAAAAAAAAAAAAAAAAATTCAAACATTTTTTAAAGCTCCCAGTGCATCAGGCCTGTGTAAATCTAAAGTGGTAACCTGTAAAGGCTTTTAAAACATCACCTTTGGATAATAAAATTTATGTACTTTGTTGCCTTTCCAAGAGCATGCGCAATTTTAAAATGCAACGTGTTTGGTATCTATTTACTCAGTGTAACATCTTTTATATTTTACCAAACAATTGTTTATTATATTGTGATTATGTTAATTCAAATTCAGTGCATTCAGCAAGTGTATTTTTTTCCTCAAATAATTGTTTGAAAAGCTGCTGCTCAAATACTGACAAAAATTGCAACACCCAAAATTTTTATTCTCTAGGGCCTCTGCTTTAAAAATATATGTAAGATTTTGGGTTCCAAGTAATTTTGTAGCAAAAAAAAATGCTGATTTTTACAAACAATAAGTGTGAGAAAAGGCTTGGTCTTAAAAGTGGTTGACTAGTAGGTTTAAGAATTATATGGACAAATATACTAAAACTGGAGCAGCTGTGCTCAGTAATCAAACTGCTTCTAGTTTCAGCCTGGGTTCACACTGATGCGGTGCGGAATTCGCATTTGTTTCTGTGCGAATTCTGCACCGCATCACAATCGCACCCCGTTCATTCGAACCGCTGCAGGTGTTAACAACATCCCGAAATTGGTTCCCAAAACTTCCCAGAATTTGCATGTGTTTTGCACAGGAATGTGCTACTGTTCCTGTGCAAATCAAATGTGATATGCCGCACCGCAGAAATGTGAACCCAGGCTCAGGTTGTTAAGTTAAGCTTTGAAAATGAATGATTGACGATGCTTAGTTGCCAGGCACAGCTGCTTCAGACTTTGTAAATTTCCCTCATAGTCTCTAATTGAGACCTTCAAAATATATTCTGTGTACAACAGCATGCAGCTGAAATCTGATATGGTTCTTAGTTCCACAGAAAAAAGAAAATTTATAGTAAGCAGATTCTCAGTGTAAATGACCCAGTTTTATATTTCTTCTGTAGGACAGTGATGATGAAGAAGAGGAAGATGATGAGAATGAAGAGGACAGAGTTAGTTCGAAAGTTAGCCGGAGTCCTTCCCCAGCTCCACAGGAAGAGAACAGTGAGTCAGAATTAACTGAAGAGGAGAGGGCTTATCAAATGGTACGTGTTTTGTTCATATGTCTGCACCACAGAAGTTAAGAAAATATTTGATACAGGTCCACTAGTATGGCAATTTATATTATATTGTCCTGGACGGGTGAGCCTTGGACAAGATTTTTTTTTTTTTTTTTTTTCCCCTTAAATCGCACCCACCTAAACCATTTTATTTTTACCACCTAGATGATTTTGACAAAAATGCTGCTAACAGAAATTCTTTTGGATGTCACAAACGAAGAAATTTTTATAATGTGGCAAAAGAGACCCATCGTAAAGCAACCAAAGGTAGCCATTTTGTTTATAATGCATGGCTTTTTATGTATAATTGGCTTGTGTTGAAGGAGATTATTCTCCCTGTAAAACCATTATTTCATTTAGGCACATTTCATGTAACTAGAAGTTGGACAGATTTACATGTGTTGCCTATATTGTGTTTTAGTAGTTTTAGTACATTACATCTTCTTAAACCTGTGCAGAACCTTTTATAACTAATTTCAGATTATGTTAATTAACTATTTTCTTTGATGAAGCTTTCAACTATTTGGCAAAGCTCCTAACCTTATTTTTAAAACTAGACATGAACCCGTCTGTTTCTTTTTTACCACGCCAAAGCTTTTAATAGTAAGCGAAGGAGTGTTAAATTAATTCTGCTTGTAAGTTTGTATGGATTTTGTATTTTAACCTTTCTTCTCTCCCCCCAAATAGCAGCAATAGTAATAAATTTTGCATAGAAGCTCATGACTTTGAGGTCGTGACTATGTGTGTTAACATGTTGTTCCTGTTGTTGATGTGATACAAAGCTCCTGCAAGGCAGCTGGCACAGTCCAGTGCACTGGCTTCCCTCACTGGACTCGGTAAGTGTGTTCCACAATTATTGGATGGGTGGGATTTCTGTGGGATAAGACAGTTTCTGTAACGTGTGCATGATTTTCATGAAAGCATGTCCAGTATCTGCCATGAAATGCAAGTCAAAGACAGTTTACCTCACATCATTTCACTGGTGAATTCAAATAAGTTTTTCAAGACTTTCTACAATAATCATCTGCTGGCTTACTCTACCAGTTCACAAGTGCAGTTTGAAAATGCCAAAAAGATGTTACATTGTGTTTAGTGCAATGTACTGGATATGTTTTAGTATTATAAACATTGTCTTCTTTTCTTACTGTTTTAGAATCTGCATTTTGATGGTAAAAATTGAGTGCAGCTTTGCTCTAAAATCTACTAGTTCTCTCCTCCCTTGGCCTAGCATCATCAATTGTAGTAGCACAGTGTACCTTAGATCAAGCTAGAACAGTTTCTCTGTGGCCTTCTACCTCCCGCACTGCCTTCTCCATAAATACAAGTGTGTTTATGCAGATAAGGCATACCTGATAGTGCACACCATGCATTAAGGTGGGAGATATAGCAATATTTTACAGATTGGTACATTGTACCATTTATTTTTGACTTGGAGGGTGGAGCTTACTAGATTTCAGGTCAAAGGTATAGCTGTCCTTTAATGATAATCTGTTTACTCTGGGTCATTGGTATTCATGTTTCGTTCACTTTAGATGTTATACGGTGCGCCCATTATGTATGTCAGTTGCATTGCATTTATCCTAATATATGTGTTGATATTGTATGTAATGTGCACAATCAACTCGCTGTAAAGGAAACTATATATATTGAAATAATTTAAAGAAAATCAATAAAATATTTTTTAGTATTTTAAATAAACTCTTGGCTAAATATTTGCCTCTTTCATTTTATACTTGTGTCTTATGATGAGCTCAATTGGGTTATTAAATTAAGTTTAGTAGTAATGAGTGGGTGGAATTGAGTTCTCTGGAAATATCATTTACTGACTTTTCATCAACTTTTAAATGAAAGATGGTGCTTTCTAGTCCTGCTATCAATTTCCTCAGCTTTAATTTTGGCAACTGCCGTCTGACCCGCAAGTAGGTACAGGCAGATGATCTATGATGGCAGGATCTGAAAGGGCATGTGGCAAGATTTTTAAAATTCCGAGAGGTGCGTGAGATATACCCAAATGATTCCTTCCAATACTTTTTTATTGCACTATACCAGGGGTAGGCAACCTACGGCTCTCCAGCTATTGCAGGACTACAAGTTCCATCATGCCTCTGCAAGTCATAGCTGTTACTATCAGTTTTGTAATGTTGCAGTGCCTCATGGGAAATGTAGTTCCACAACAGCAAGAGAGCCGCAGGTTGCCTACCCCTGCACTATAACCTTCTCACTTGATTTATTGTGCTTTACTTGGCTTTTTGAATACCTTAACCTTGTTAGCTGCTTAGGTCGCATTCGTACAAAAATGTGTGCGCTAACGCATGCTGCGTTCACAAAGTTTAAGTCTTGTGTTGCCTTTTAATTATAGTCAACGTGACAGATAATATGAAGCACTCAGAACTTTTTTTCTTTTCAATGCTGTGCAATGCAGCACATTTATTGTGAACAAGTTCTACTGATTTGCTCCTGAGAGGGTAGACCGGTAAAAAAAAAAAAAAACACATACTAGCACCTCTTCTCCTCTTGGGATCTTTGTTTACAAGAACAGAGTTCAGTTTATCTTAGTATCCCAGGAGGCTGGACACCCTAGTTCTTTTCTATGAGTATTGTGAATAAGTCCAATGTATGTTCTTGTGCCCGTCCATTTAGCTGCATTTTAAAATGGCTGTTCATCTTGTGTTCTGAATGGCATAGCAGAACATAACTTCTACAGAAAAGTGATCTTAAATTGCTAATCGTACATGAATAAAACCTTATGTTGTTCTCCATTTTTAAAGTGGTTTATGGTAAAAAAAAAAAAAAAAGCTTTAGAACTTTTTTGGCAAATAAATCCAGTAACTCACCATGTCAGGCTATAGGTATTTTGAGTTCATTAATGATTTAAGTCTTCAGCACATCCTGCAGTCACTCAGTAGTGGAAAATAAACAATACCTGTTCAGAAAATGGGCATTTTTCTCTGAACACTTCCCTTCCTGAAACTTAATATATTTGAGCTTACATCATCAGATTTAAACTTGGAAATATAAAAGCGGATTTGTGCATTTTAGTTTAGTCAACAAGCCTACCCTGCCTGTTTAATCACTGTGAGCGCAAAGTGTCTGAGCCATCCTGATTTTCTATATTTTTAGTTAAAGATTAATTCCAGGCATCATCACGTCATACATAGTTGTATTGGTTCAGCTTGGACCAATGTAACTATGTATATGACATAACTAGCTGATGCAGATGGAAATCACTGAATAGCCAGGCAGATTCCTTGTGAATACAGAAGGCTGACTGCTCAGAACCTATGCCATTCAGAGAATGTCTTCATCTTCTGAATGAAAGTGTTTTCTGATTGGACAGGGTGGAAAGGTGGGGCATTGATGTCACACTCTCCACCTTGTCCAATCACAAAATGCTTTGCTTTGCATTTTCCTAATAGTGGCCATGTGCAGCCAGTGGCTGCTCGGCATGGGACCCAGAAGCAAGTAGAGATTGCTGAAGTAGTAGTGTCTAATTCAGTGATTTGCAGCAGCATTGGCCAGGTATGTCATATACGTAGTTACATCGGTCCAGTCTGGACTAATGTAACTGTATAACATGCTGATGCCTGGAATTATTCTTTAAGGAAATGCCTTAACATACTCTACTAATAAGCGTGTATATAGAAAAATAAATACCTGCATTTTATTTGCAAAACTGACCCATATGGTCAGTTTTGCATTTTTAGTCACTTTTTTTTGTATATGTTATATTTTTGATACAAAAAAAATTTACATCAGTGGTAGATCCCTCTAAAGTGTAAAATAAGGAGATGCATGTGAATCAAACAGTAGAAGGATTATATTAGTACCAGCATATTGTGTACTTGAGAAGGCAGTAGGTTGACACATCTCTCATTGCTGCTTGATGGACTGGGCTTTATGCATGCAGGTGGACTGGGTGGTTATGGATCTGCAGAAAGTGAAGATGAGAGGAGTGATAGAGGATCAGAGTCTTCTGATACCGATGAAGAAGAACTCCGCCATAGGATACGCCAGAAGCTAGAAGCCTTTAAACGAAAGGAAAAAGAGCAACAGTTACTTGAAAGACAACAAGAAGGTAACCCATTTGATGTCATTGATGCCATTGTCCGTGTACTTCTCAGCCACTGTCAGCTAGCTCTAGATTGCCTGCCACACTATCACAGTCCCATTATAAATCGCTGATCTCCACCATTACCAGTATAACATCATAGCTGCTCTTTAACCTTCACACAAACCAATTAATATGCACTTTGTGAGATTTTTTTTAAACCAAAGATATTTTGGCCTAAACTTCTGAAGAAATTTTTTTTTTTTATTGTATTTTTTATAAGAGAGAGTAGAAAATAATATTACCCCGCGCAAGATTTTTTAAGTCTTTTTATTATTTTATGTAATAAAAACCCAGTGGTGATCAAATACCACTAAAAGAAAGCTCTATTTGTGTCGGGGAAAAAAATGATATAAATTTCATTTGCGTACAGTGTTGCATGACTGCGCAATTGCCAGTTAAAGTAGCGCAGGGCTGAATAACAAAAACTTTCCTGCTCATGAAAGGGGTAAAACCTCAACCCAAGTAGTCAATGATTGAGAGAAATGTTTAGCACAATGATTGTTGGGGCCAAACCTTGACTTGCAGAGAAGTCCTCCCTGTGTATGGCCTAAGCCTTGAATCCAAAGGTTTTCACAGGAATCTGTGATGACTACAGTATTTGCATTTCAGTACTGTTATACTTTACCCTTTTACACTAGGCCATGTTTTTTTAAGGGGTAGAACATGCACCTTATGTTTTTCTTGTGTGCCTTACATGGTTTTAATTAACATGAACAATGGCAAAAGAAAATATTGCTAGTGCCTTCTGCCTTCCTGAACTATAGATGAATAGCTGAATACACAGACCAACTACACAGATTACGCTTGACACCATCCATGCTATTCTTTCTTCAAGAAGAGACCACCAGCAATCCGAGGGTTAAATCCTGAGTCTTGCACTAAATAGACATGTTTTGTTCATCTGCAGCTGTGCACAAGGGTATGCAGTAGGCCTAAATATAAAATAAAAGAACAAAGAGACGTGCATGACTAGTACAGTTAAGCACTTTAATAGGATGAAATAAAATAAAGTCCAGAAAAAGTGCACTTGCACGTTGCCACATCAGAGAAGCGCTTTGTACATAGCTTGAAGACACTTGCAACACAACCACTGATGAAGAATCACTGTCAACTCCAAGCTGAATCTAATCCTATTTGTGCTAACAAGCTGGGGAAAGTGAAAGGCTCCCTCACAGGGCCTCACAGTCCAGAGCTCCCAGCAGGCCACCGCAGCCCCAGCCTGTTAGATCCACTGGTACAAGCCTGCATGTAGCCTGCTGTGAGCACTAGTACTCCTGAGGCAACCTTTCTCTTTCCCCAGTAGGATTGGAATCAGCTTGGAGTTAAGAGTAAAGCCCCAATCACTCTTTCATGTAATGG